GGATAAAAACGCACGGATTTTTCATATCCACCACAGCGTTTTTAGTTGCGTAAAATTCGCGGGAGATTTAAAATTTTTAAAGATGGCGTCCGACGAGGAGTTAGTTTTGTTGTTGTGGCTTCGTAAAAGGAAACGAGAAATAAGCAAATACAAAAAGCGTTTCTGGGTAAAAGATATACTGAAACGTCGAAAAACTCTTGGCGAATATCATCGATTAATTCAAGAAATGCGACTAAATGACCACGAGTCATTTTTTCAGTATTTCAGAATGACCCCGAAACGTTTTGAAGAAACCCTACGTCTCGTTGGCCCATACTTGGTTAAAAATTCGTTGACCCGCGAACCTATATCTCCCGGAGAGCGCTTGGCTGTTACCCTTCGATACTTGGCAACAGGCGACTCGCAGCAAAGCATAGCATTTAGCTTTCGTCTTGGTCATACGACAGTAACAAGAATTGTCGAGGAGACTTCTGAAGCTTTGTGGAAATCGTTAAGAAATTACATGAAAGCACCATCAACTGAAAATGAATGGAAGAAGATTGCATCCGACTTCTGGGAGATATGGAATTTCCCAATGTGCTGTGGTGCAATTGACGGGAAACATGTGGTTATGCAATGTCCTGCCCGTGCTGGTTCTTCGTTTTTCAACTACAAAGGTTTAAAAATAATAGATAACATGCAGGGCCAATTTGAACTCTACAATTATAATTTGTTTCATAAAAATACATGAACTACAAATGATGGCTAAGTGTTTTTTTCTGTCAAGCCAACTATCTTTTCAAATTGCTATATATGCCCTAATCTTTAATATTTCTATTCATTTATAAATATTAGGTACCCATAGCATAGTGTTGATGGCAGTATGTGATGCCAGATACCTCTTTACCTTGGTGGAAATTGGTAGTTCTGGCCGAAATGCTGATGGGGGCATTTTTGCTGAATCAGAATTTGGAAAAGCTCTTGAAAATAATAATCTAAATTTACCTGTACCTGGTCCTTACCCAAGAAACCTACGGATCAGTGCCCTTATCTATTTGTCGCTGATGATGCTTTCCCACTAAAGAAATGGATGATGAAGCCGCACCCTGGTAAATTTCTATCAGAGGAGAAGAAGATATTTAATTATCGCCTATCTCGTGCACGGCGTGTCATCGAGAATACATTTGGCATTGCTGCAGCTAGGTGGAGAGTGCTGAGGAGACCAATTCAGGCATCAACTAGAAAAGTTGCCAGTATAACCAAAGCTACTGTTGTTCTGCATAATTACCTGATGATTGAGGAATTTGGCATTCCAAATCAATCTAAGAGATACTGCCCAGCCGGATTCATTGACATTGAGACAGGTATATATTAGATTATCTATCTATCACAGGCAAATAGCAAATATATTATACACATGTCTTGCAAGTGCTTAAGATTGAAATATCATAAAATTGTGTATAGATATGGAAGAAACAGGCCCGGAGATTGGAGGACTTTGACACAAAACGACACTGGCCTGTTACCAATTCAAAAGCAGGGTAGTAATAACTATGCACGTAATGCCAAGGCTGTTCAAGATTTGCTCCACATTTTTCATATCAGCTGAAGGAGAAGTGCCATGGCAATATGCTCATGTGCAAAATCTTGGTCAACATGAGGAATAAGAAAAGAATTAATATTTTAATTGTGTGAATCAATAAATAACAAATTTCATTAATGTAAAGAATTAATGTTTATATCAACTGTATAATAACAAATTGTAAACAATTAACAAAACACAAGAATATGTTAAAAACAGATTATTAATTATGTTAAATATATGTGTTTGCTAACAGTACATGCTTGGTTCATACTTATTCATCTTCTTGCCATGATGGGGTTATTAAGACAGGATTGTTATTGTGAGATTGAGTAATCATTGAAGCCTGTGGGATCTGAGCTTGGCACAAGACCTTTTGAATTTCACTCATTGCAACTGCTTTGGCCTCAGGATCCAATAATTGAAGTTGAGCGGATACACTCTTACCAAAGGCATCTTCTGCACTAATTGGTGTTGTGATAACTGATTCTTTTGGATTTTTCGTACCAGATAGATATTCCAAAATTTTAACATCTATGGCTCTATCCACATGCTGTTGAGACATTGATGCATATGATCGTTTTCTAGTGGGCTTTTGAACAGTAGTATCTTCCACAACCATGTTGCTGGGTTTTTTGGATTGAGTAGAACCAGACAAATCTGTATTCTGAGATTCAACTTCCAACTGTTTTTCACATCCAAGTTGTGATGAATCTTCATTTGTCTTGTTTTGATTTAATGTGTCATTGATCTGTACAATTGGTAGTTGGAAATTACTCTCTGCATTCTTAGCTCTTATATTTACATAAGGTTTGAGAAAAGACATGGCATTGAGATAAGGATATTGAGGTGCTTCATCTACCCCCGAACCACTTTTCTTTGCAGTACCACTTAGTGCACGAACATAATTATCACGAATATTCTTCCATATTCTATCTTTATATTCGGATACTACAGATTTAATAAAGTAAAAGCTGGTCAGCTGTTATATTGAACCAAAATGCTCTGCTTAATATTGAATTGGCATATATATATATATATATATATATTATATATATATATATATTATAATATTATATATATATTATATATATATTGCATGCATTTATAATTACAGTTGAGGACCTTTCCCGTAGAATTTCCAGAGACCTGGTTTTTCATGGGTGTCCCTTGGGATATCCCATGCAACTTTTGGAAACTGCACCCCTTGAAATACATATAGTAAGTTGAATAAGTTTACCCCTTCCTTGGACTTTCCAAACCATTTAAGAGATATGTGAGCAATTATTGGCAACCCTTGGAAATATTTTTTACCCTTGCACCTGGAATTTCCAAGTGAAAATACATGATACCTGTTTACATGATACGGATACAAATACATATACATGATACGGATTAAAAATGCATGTGATTTATATAAATAGAGAATATTCTCATTACTGAGTGCAATTTTAAAAGCTTGCCTTGATTCTGGACTGTCAAGCAATATTTCAGGCAAAACATGATGCAATTTTTATATTGCATTAATACACTAGCTGACTAATGTACTTTGCACTCCACAGTAAATCATATAACAACAACAAAGCTCCCTAACATAAAAAAGACAGATTTTAATACCTGTGTAGCTGGTGTCGCTGTCTTTATTTACACATTCTGCGACCTCTTGCCAAGCATTTTCCTTAATGGTTTTGTTTTTGTAGTTATTATCCTTGGTATTCCATAATGCAGGATACTTTTGTACTTCTGAAATAAGTTTTTCTTCCACATTAGAATATTTTCCCATCTCGAACAGTTCAAAAGTCTGGAAACTTTCCAATTTTTAATATTATATTTAGCTATTTCTATATTTTATAAACTAAAAAAACACCGTTCACGTGATCTGACAATCACTTTCCATTGGATAACTGGCTTGCATGTCTGGAACATTCGCGTAAAAGTTGAACACCGATCAACTCACGCGTTTACGCTTGCGGAGACCACGTACGTAAAACGTGCGTGCACGCACGTAGAAAAACGCAGAACTGGAAAGCAGCCTTAAGAAACCTGCCCTCGATGGAATGTCGATGAAATGAAATTTGGGCTCCAACGGTCCAGTTTCTGTGTTTGTCGATATTATTTTCCTTATGCCTCTTTAAGTCAATCGCATATGATTAGTCAATTCGAGACCGGAAGTTAGGAGATTTTCAAAGAATTTCCTATTACGAAAATCACTGAACTGCAGACATTGCCGCTATGAGTTTCAGGCGGTAGACGTTTGATCATTCCAAATTCAAATTCGGTTAAGTCATGTGATCAAATCTGTTCATCGTTTTAGTCACATGACTTCGTGTTATTGTTGACTGTTTTTCTAATTTTAATTCACGCGCGAATCTTACCGTGCAACACTGTACAAAAATGAATACATTTGGACGAACATATGACCAAGGAAAGGCCTTAGACAAGGACTTACGCTCTGTAATTGTGGACACAATTTTATCGGAAGGTGGAGATGTGGCAACGGGTTTTTTTGGGGGAAGCTTTCGAGCGATTGCACGAAGATTTAGCCAAATGTGGCACCTCTGTCATCAATCTGTTCTTAAACGTCTGAAAATCGTCTTGTAATAGCTCCTTTTCAGAAATGAAGAGCGGTGTGGTCCTTTTTCTCAGTTGAATAATATGTATAAATTATTTTAAGCTGAACCAGAGACATGTTTAGAACGCAAGAAAGATGGACAAATAAAGTTGCAAAATGGCGAAATGATTTTAGGGTGTGTTAATTAGAATTAGAAATCGTGAAGTCATGTGACTAAAACGATGGAAATGAACCGATTTGATCACATGACTTCATAACCGAATTTGAATTTGGAATGATCAAACGTCTACCGCCGTTTGAAATTCATAGCGGCAGTGTCTGCAGTTTAGTGATTTTCTTAATAAAATTTTTGATGAACTCCGTAAGCCAATTGATGAATTTTAGCAAATGAGTTGCTCAATATTTTTCGGAACGCTTCTATTGCCGCGACTGTAATTGCATGCTGCATGCAGGACAGAAGCAAAACATTCTGGAATTTGTTAAAAGTAATTTTAAAATTGTTCAGAACAATATTTCTTGAACGAGAATAAAATTTCTTAATTAATGAATGAACTTTGTTGAATATATTATGTTGTAACTCTTGAATGTGAATGTGAACTATGATAAAATTTTGCTGAATGGTTATTACGTCTGTTTGATTATGAATGCACTTTTTTAACATAAATGTTGAAATTGCTGAATGTGATAATTGTTTGTTGAATTTGAACAGACGTTGAATATTGCACTATTTCGCCTACCATAGCTGAAAGTAAACGTGAATTCACTTCAGAAAGACACTCCAGAATCATCTTATAGCTCAGTGACAAACATCTGCAAATTTTTAAAGCGCGAAAAAATTGTCGCGGGAAAGATGAATTGGGGCTCAATGATTTTGCTGCATCATGAACACTGACATCATGAACGAGAGCTTTGATTTAGTCATTTGTGATTGAACAACTAAACTTGCCATAAATGGGATTACATTATGCCTACGAAGCGAAAGTCTTACAGGTACGATAATTGAATCATTTTGTGTATAAACTAACATCGCGCGCATAGATATCGCAGCGATTTTGACTTTATATGGTAGGGTTAAGTTCTGCATAGAATTTCAGTGTGTCCATCATTGAGAAATTATGTAGGAGTCTGTAAGACTTTAATAACATTACATAGATGGAACATTAACATCGTGCATTCAGCAATGCTAATGGTCACTGTATCACAATTTAAAGAGACTTACCATTGCCAAGTCTGTAAGATTATATACTTTATATAGTGTGTATATACATTATATAGCTTACTAGTGATAAAATCCCCCTGTAATGCCATCAATCCAGACTTCATTCCGGGGGGTTACAAATTTGTGTGATATAATTTACTTATAGTAAAAAACTAAAAATCTGTGTATCATCATTGGTGTTTGTGTACAATTAACCTAGAATGCACCATGGCAATCAATGCCATCTTGATTGTTTTTAATACACACAGGGTAATATAAATGACCTGTGCCCAGGGCCATAATATGAGTGCCTATAGTAAATGCTGAAATATGCTTAAAAATTCTTCTGCCTACCTCACAAATTGTCTCATTCAATAGAATTCCAAGAGATAAGCAACACCCCAGGTTTTAAAGAATCAAATCACATGATTTGTCATGAATTCTAATTTGATTAAATTCAGCCTTGCCATTGAGTTTTTGATAGGCATTGCCTTCATTGAGGAATTAGGTTTCATAGTTTTAAGAAACAATTGCTGTTTTTAAAGCTTAAAAGACAATGTTCAAGATTACTCTCATATTGCAATTTTCAAATTTTCACTCTCAAATAGTAATACAAGTATGTAAATTATTGAAATTGCTATTGATTATAAATCCAAAACTGTATATCCATAAAGTATCCGTATTTAATTAATATAAGTGCAGCAGGTAATAAGTACTTGTTTCTAATTACAGTATGTTGGCATACATAAATAAAATTAGGGCTATCCTTTGGACTCACAATCTTAGAGTGTGATCACTTCATAGAAAACATTCTAACTTATATTATATGGAGTAATATTATATACCACTTCTTAACATTTCCACTTTATGAATAAATTTAATGTTTATCTTAATAAAACTGGCTTTTGGATATGTTGATATGAGACATATTACTAACTATAATTATATTAAAATATAGCTACCTTTATACGCATTAGTATTTTTTTGTTATTATACAGTAGGGATATTACATCATGATATTACATTTTTTTGTTTTAAAATGTTAAAATAGTACGTATGTACTTACATGTCAGATGTTTGACAAATATTGTTGAAAGCTTAAGATTCTGCAACAGCTACATTGTTAATTTTATTTAACCACTGAACATTGTTAAAAACTGAATTCCACCTCTTGAGCGAGGTGGTTTAATTATTTGCAGGGGGCTTTCTTAGAAGGACGAAGCCTTTTGTACTGATTATCTATTTCTGCAACAGCAGCATCAGGTGTTGAGACAAGGTTTTGTGAGTGAGCTGCACATCTTCATTGAGAGGTTCCAAAATTATCAGCAGCCACAATGTCATTCATGAATCTGTCTTCAACTTGGCTACATTTATGGAAAGGATCCTCTATGTAGTATGTACATGTATATTACAATTGTAGTGAGGAAACAAATGTTGCTAATATTGGGTGTGTACAAAAGAATTGATGTAAACACATGAATATATGAATGTTTTCACATCCATCACTAGTGGATTTTCCAATTGCACACATCAACTGCTAGCAATGATCTAGTTGAGTTGTAGCAAGATGCAGGGACAAAAACGTCTTCCATGATGAATTTCTTTTCCATCAGCATTTGTCTTAAGACTTCACCTTGTAATGCTTGTTTTCTCACTTAATTGCTGCCAAAGACATTCCTTATTCCCAGTTGGAGTTACCAAGCCCCAAGTATTATTCACCATTGCACTTTTCCATCCCATTGCACTTTTCAACCAATTATGCAGAAGGTCTTCCTCAACAAATCTTTTAGGAGGTTTTCCTCGAGTAAATCTAGTTAGTTATCTTTAATATAATATTATCCTACATACAGTACTTATGAAATTTTATATGATTCATCCTTGCGATTCACGTTCCCGAAGTTGCGAGCATTGATATCGTCATTCTCATTAAATTTATCCCTTTAGTAATTTTAGTTATTATTCTATCCTCACTCTTCCCAGTGACAGGAACATCTATTGCAACAGGTTTATAACATATTAATGATCATGTCATTAATGTCATGATCGTGTCGTGTCATTTCTTCGCATTCATATCATTTCTTCGTCTTCATATTCTTAACCGTATTCTGTACGATAACAGATCATGATTTAGATCATGTTTATAATGATACTGCAAATTACAGAGAATCTAGAGGTCACCTGGAGTCAAATTGCTAGTCCTTCTCTGGTAAAGATATAAAATTAATAATTAAAACCATGTAAATTATATGCAGCATGTGGGCAAACTGAAAAATACATCCAACACGAATTTAGCAGATCGACTCGTGTCGCATTTTAGAGGGGATAGACCATGATTTTTTATCAACTTTCATCACGGATATTTAGTTTACTCGTAGAACGTTTAGATTTTGTTTAAAAAATATGAAACAGTTGAAGAATTGAAGCTGACGACTCTCAAAAATACGCGAAAATTGATAATTCATATTTTGCCTTATTTTCCATCTTTAATCCACATGTGAACCTCTAGTATGTTGAAATTATCGAACGAAAGAATACAAACTAACCCATAATGAAACATTTAATAAGAACAAAATATATGAAATACAAAAGCCTCGTGCGAACAACAAATCAGAGTCTAAGAACAGTATCACGTGACTCTACTGAATGATTAACATGCTTGACCTTATATGGTATTCATGCATTACTTATGTTATATATACTATTTCTAACACTCCCACTTAATGATAATACCATATTAATAAAGTTAACTTCAATATATCTAAGATTGTCTTCCCTATTCAATGTTTTTAATACCTAATATGTCTCTGAATCGCTCAAAAGTGTTTCTAGCTATACCTTTCGTCATTATATCAGCCAACATGTTATTAGTCGAACAATACTCAACACATACTACATTACGATCTACTTGTTCTCTAATGAAATGGAATGAAATGTCAATATGTTTCGTACGGTTGTGAAACCTTGGATTTTTCGACAATTGTATTGCCCCTTGATTGTCCTCAAAGATTGTTGTTGGAGCATCTTGTTTAAGACCAATATCAGCTAATAATCTTCGAAGCCAAACGATTTCTTGACATGCATCACTTAAAGCTATATATTCTGCCTCAGTTGTTGATCTTGCAACAGAACCTTGTCGCTTGCTACGCCAACTAACAATGTTACTTTGAATGCAGGTAACATACCCCGATGTTGAACGTCGTGTTTCTTGATCACCAGCCCAATCTGCATCCGAATATCCAGATAACACAGGCTTATCACTACTTGCAGTAAATACAAGACCATAATTCACTGTCCCTTTTACATAACGTAATATTCTTTTTACTCCTTGCCAGTGCTCTTTTCCTGGACGAGACATAAATTTTGACAGAATACCAACTGCTGCTGCCAAATCCGGTCTAGTTGCAGTAGTTGCATACGTTAAACAACCAATCACCATCTGGTATCGTTGAGTATCAACTGGTGTATCACTTTCAGATAGTGATTCGAACTTTCTTCCAGGTTCCAAGGGTGTGGAAACAGGTTTACAATTCTCCATCTGGAATCTTTTCAGGACTCCTTCTAAGTATCTCGGCTGACTAATAGACATTGTTCTTGTCTTACGATCTCGTTTCACGGACATTCCAAGAACAAAACTAACTTCCCCCATATCGTCAACCTTAAATCTTTTGGCGAGAGCTGCTTTTTCTTTCTTTAACATCTGAATGTTGTTGGAAAACCACAGGATGTCATCCACATAGAGAGCAAGGATCACAAAATCAATCTTTCCATCTCCACGCTTGACTGACTTAATATATATGCATGGATCTGAACTGCACTTTCTGTACCCGTTTGATCTCAGAAAAGTGTCTATCGCAAAGTTTCAACATCTTGCAGCTTGCTTTAAGCCATAAATACTTTTATTCAGCTTGCATACGTAATCCGGGTGTTCTTGATTGACATAACCCTCCGGTTGCTTCATATATATTTCCTCATCTAGGTCCCCTTGTAAGAACGCGGTCTTAACGTCCATCTGATGCACCTCCCAGTCGCATACGTTTGCTACAGCTAGTAACGATCTGATGGATGTAAAACGAACCACAGGTGAAAAGACTTCTTCAAAGTCAACCCCTTCTGACTGTGAATAACCTTGCGCTACCAACCTAGATTTAAATTTGTCGACAGAACCATCGGCGCCATGTTTTATCTTAAAAACCCAGCGACTACCGACAATGTTCTTTCCCTCAGGAGGTGGAACAAGTTCCCAAGTATCATTAATAATGAGTGACTCATACTCACAGTTTGTTGCCTTTTTCCAATCATTCGAGTGTTCTCCACTCCACGCTTCTTGTATGCCCACTGGTTCATCTATATCAGTTGTAAGACTATCGGTCATGTACAGTTCTTCATCGAATCTTGCTGGAGGTCTTCGCTGTCTTTGCGGATTTAAATTCTCAACTTCTCGCATGAAATTATCCTCATAATTTGCTCCCACTGGATTGTTGTGGTGTTCATCAACAGGAATGTTATTTTCAATATTAACGTGTTAATTATCTTCATTATCAGGAATTTCGTCATTTACAGCATCAACTGGAATGATAGGTGGTTCAGTTCGAACATCTTCTCCTGGATAGAAGAACTCAGAACTCGGTTTTGATGAATGTTCACAGTTGAAGTCATGGAATTTCTTTTCATCAAATATCACATCTCGACTTCGTATAAAAGACTTCTGGAATAAGTCGTATAATTTGTAACCTTTTGTCCCTTCAGGATATCCCATGAACACACATTTTCGAGACTTCTCTTCTAACTTCTTTCGTAGATCCTGAGGAATATGTGCAAATGCTATGCATCCAAATACTCTCATATTCGAGACATCTGGTTTACAATTGAAAAAACATTCAAACGGTGTCAAATGTTTCTCCAATGAACTAGTAGGACTACGATTACGAACATACACTGCAGTACTAACAGCTTCAGCCCAAAATTCTTATGGCATCTTTGAATGGAACATCATTGAACGAGCGGTTTCCATAACAGTCCGATTCATACGTTCGGCCACACCATTTTGAGCAGGATTATATGGAACAGACGTTTGGTGTACAATACCATTCTCTTTCAAAAACATGTCAAAGGCTTTCGAACAATATTCTCCACCATTATCAGAACGGAGAACTTTTACATTCTTTCCAGAAGTGCGTGCATAGTTCACATACTCTTTGAACTTTCCTAGTACTTCGTCCTTACGTTTGATGAAATACACTTGTATATCTGGAATAATCATCAATTAAAGTGACAAAATACCGTGATTTTCCAAGTGAATCAACATGCATTGGACCACATATGTCACTGTGCACGATTTCAAAGGGTTCAGTTGCTCGATAGGGTATGCCTTTTGGATAGGGTGCGCGATGTTGTCTTCCCATAATACACGATTCACATGTTGAACGTTCTCCCCCATCTTTGGCATTGTCCATTCCCTGGACCATATCATTCTTTGTCAATTTTGAAATGTTCTTCATTCCCAAATGACCAAACCGACAGTGCCAAAGATACATGTCCGAATCTTCTTTAGCAACATTAACACACTCATCCATCACAATTTTTAGCATGTAAAGCTTTCCACATAATTCACCGATGGCTAATAACTTCGAGTTTCGTCTGATCTCACATTTCTCGTTGTCAAATTGAACAGTAGCACCTAACTTTACCATCGCTCTAACTGACAGTAAGTTTTTCTCCAAATCGGGTAGGTACAAAACATCACGTAAACTTATGCCCTGTTCATGATCATCAACGTCAGCAACCATGCGATAAGTTCCTTTCCCATATGCGAATATGGTACGATTGTCTCCCAGATTAACAGTACACGGTTCCTTGAACTCGACATAATCCGACAATCTGCCCTTCTCGTATGTCATGTGCTGCGTTGCCCCAGAGTGAATGATCCATCCCGATTTATTATTTGAGCTGGAAGTAAGCAATGCTTCATCCTCATTAATATTATCATGATCACCATGTTCAGCACGACGAGCCGATTTCCTTGGATCTCTTTCCTTAGATTCTTTTCCTTTCGAATCACCTCCCTTCGAATAATGTAATTTATCTCGTTTCGGGCAATCACGTGCAAAATGTCCAATCTCATGGCAATTATGGCACTTACCACGAAATACATTACCATGTCGTTGGTTTCTACGCTTGTCTCGTTTAGCAGAAAAAGCATCCTCCGATCTTTTTGCATCTTTGCTACGATCCATATCATTCAAAAGCATATTCTTCACCTTTTCATACGACACACGTTCATCACCAACAGCATCCAGAGCGGTTATCAATGGTTTGAACTCTTCAGGCAAGCTAGCAAGTAGTGTCATTGCCAGTTCCTTTTCATCGATGTCCACCCCCATCTCTCTCAGTTGGTCATGCAGTGATCGTAAGCGACTGATGTGCTCTAACATATTATCACCAGAGCGATAATAACAAGAATAATATTGTTGTCGTAGCCTCACCGTTTGCAACAAGGACTCACGCGCAAACTGATTTTTCAAAGCATCCCATGCTTGTTTCGCGGTTTTCGTATCCCTCACGTGTATTTGCTGTGCGGGCTCAATGGCTAAACAGATATGGCTCCACGCCTTCTTCGCACCAGAATTAAATGTTCGTAATGCCCCATCGTCCTCCGGAGCTACGGCCGTACCATCTGCATGCGAAAACAGATCAAGGCTTTCCAGATGTAAACGCATATTAAACGACCACGTACATAACGTACCATTTAATTTCGCGAACTTCAACGTCGAATTCATCGCCATATCAGCCATATTATCCGCTTGAAATGCGGCTCAATAAAATACTCGTTTTAAATCATATATAAAACATTCGTTCGAATCGCCAAAGTGGACCTTAGCATCCTGGGCCCATAACCTGTTGAAATTATCGAACGAAAGAATACAAACTAACCCATAATGAAACATTTAATAAGAACAAAATATATGAAATACAAAAGCCTCGTGCGAACACAACAATATTAGAGTCTAAGAACAGTATCACGTGACTCTACTGAATGATTAACATGCTTGACCTTATATGGTATTCATGCATTACTTATGTTATATATACTATTTCTAACATAGTATATGCGCAGCGCCAGTATGAACGAAAGGACTCAAACGAGAAGCAAATATCAACGTCTGTATTTTAAGGCTAACACAAAACGAAAGAGAGAGAGATCGCCTCACTTGGTTCTCTCACTAATGTTACTAACAGAAATTATAATGTAACTAGGTCACTAATAATGTATGTGATTACTATGCCATAATCATATGGCGCAGCAATTGTAAACTACTAGGTAACCAAGCCTGATTTTCAATTTATTTCCCAATCTCATGTAAACTAGCTACGCGTCATACCACAGCATTGCAAGAACGGAAAATAAGACATTACTATACAGCTTGCGACTAGAGCATATAACCTAACTACTGTATATCTCAATACTGTACGTTATTGTAACCTATTTTTACAAGTTAAATCCAGTGAAATAGTTTAATGGGTAATACGTAGTTTTAACCTCTCATTACACTGATATTTAACAATCATTTTATTCGCGAGGTAATTATCGGGGGAATTTTAACCCAGCTAAAGTCCAACAGATAAGATTTTTTGCATGTTTGTGGTGATTTTTTCTCGAAATTGAGAATACCCAGTTGCAGAAGCGCGTATACAGTTGAAACTGTAATATTGGAGGATATTAATTACAGTGGAATCATGATATGACAATTACATTTTACAAATGTAACCGATGTATATATTATGTATTTTCAATTGTTTATTAGAGCCAAGAAGGATGTCAACTATACTGACAGTACTAGTAACTCAAATTATGAAAGTGAGGGTATGTGTGAAATATTATACTACGCATTTACTATTTTCAAATTTACAATAAGTGGTTATATTATTAGTAATGTTTATGCAAGAATTAAGAACTATGAAACTTACTGGTACACTTTGTTTACATGCATTATTTTTACAAACTTTGTCTCTTTTTCAATCCTTTATCTCAGAGTAATTATATGTAGATAGCTAAATGATAGTAGATAGCTGATCTATGCTATAGCTGAAATCAGCCATCGCATCAAAAGCTGTACCACTTCTCACGGTTGTTGGCCTATTACCATAGGTTTCTCGGATGGGCCATAATTAAGACTCATATGACTGATCCGGAGGGAAACATGTTCTGTGGAGCCGACACCGCGGAAACATGGTGGTCGAGGGTCCACAAAATATGACGTGTCCCGAGGAGATCAGTCAATTAATCTTTTATTATATTGCAAGTTTCAAAAGAAATAACGGGTGAAAATACGCAACAAACGTAGCCAAAATCGGAGAGAAAACTTTTAATTTGATTTTTAATTTGACTTTCAATTTTAATTAATACTGAACGTAACTAACACAATGATGTACGCAACTGCAAAATTTTAATAAAACGCAGATGAAGGTTCATTTGTAAGTAAAATTAAATGTAACATTACAGTTGTTAAACGCCCCTGAGCCAAATGTCACGTTTTCTATCGCAAGTTCGTTTGGGAAGCATGCATGGAGGACCGGAGATCCCGGCAAAAATGGCAGTGGAGAACTTGATATTGTGGTACTTCGTCTTATTGGCTGTTTATGAGCTGTAATGAATTGCCGGCAGATGTTTCTTCGTGAGAGTAATTAAGAGAAGGCATTCCGCATGCTTGGCCAAGGTTATTCGCGATTTCCCTCTGCTTTTCCTCTGACAGTCGACGGGAATAGCTCCTGATACTAGATTTTGATTTATGGACTCCGACATGGGAATATTTCTTTTGTTTGTTCTCGTAAGTTTTCTCTTCGTCGTTTTACAAGATAAAAAAGAACGTCAGAGACATTTGTATTGTAGTCCTTTTGGTGATGTCATGTCAAAGTATGAATGTATAACTTCTGCAAATTTTCGTTTGTGATTTCTTGATGGTTAACTTTTCCAATGCCGACTCTTTTAAGTTCAACCAACAAAGCCCAAAAAACTCGATTAGACAGGCTAAATTCAATGTCCTCCGTGATTTTAAGTTTCTTTTCGGCCATTACAGTAAGTACTATATCTTGCAATCTAATAGAGTTCATCATATACATATAAGTAAAATGTGATCCATCTTTACGTCAATGATGGCACCATATGTCGCAAAGATCACGCCGCACCATATCGCAGCACTCTGGCTACTGACAAACATAATCAGTTTTTATTAACAGCATTTCCCCCGTTATTTCCTCCCACTACAGCCGCCTTTTTACAACCAATGCACGCTGCTTGTTACGATCGATATATCCAAAAAAATATCGATATTTTCTCCGCTATTCACCAAAAAACGTAGAAAATATTTTAGAAATCTAACACAGCTGTAATTGTAAGATCGTTGGTATCTTGATTTCAACATAATTTGCAACTCTGTAATATATCATCTACAAGCTAAAAAGATGCATGTCACCTTCTCAGGCGTCAGCTGTGTTGTCTGCGAGCTTACAACCTGACTGGCTTTGCTAAACAGTCTTTCTGAAGGCGTACTGCTGGCTGAGATAGCCTAGTACAGTAGCACTTAGCCTGGCACTTCCACCAAAGTAACGGATCGTTATCGCCATCAATCTTATACATAGGGATTCTAGTGTATTATGCCATTTCATTTTTTCAATGTACTACGAGGTGTTTGGTTGTTCACGTTGTTGTTCGTCTTTAGAACATCGTTGGCAAACTGTACATGAAGTCGTTTCGTTGGGCATCATCCATGCGGCATTATAAGCTCACTGAGGACGATTTCTTAGTGAAGAAATCGGTCTATTTTTAGTAACAAAAGTGGCGCTGATTCAATGAAATTCTAAAAAGGATCTTTATTTCTTAGTTTTTGCAAATGGCTATATACTAGTATACCATCTAAATTTTTTAATATCGCGGATCAAGTATAAGCATGTAATAATCATCAACTGTTGTTTTTCTTTACTTTCGTACTTTGAATTATGGGTTTCCATAATTTTCTTCTTGATCAAAACGATCATGGGCATATCATTATCATTTGCTGCCAATTTCTGCACTTGTAGACAAGGAACATTTACGTTCTTAATTGTTAGGTGGGAAGGACGATATTTCTTCTTTCTTAAAGCAGTTGATCAAATGTTCTCATTGTCTTCTGATAAAACGGCACAGTTCAATTAAAGTGGGTATTTGCACTTGCTAAACTTGCAATAACATACAAACCACAATTCGCAGATCCTTTCTGCTCTGAAATGAAGCCATTTCAATGTGAAACTGGCGCACCTGCCTTCACGATGCTGATATGATAGCATTGCAGTAATTGCATGTCGCTTGATTCCGTTTAGTCGTCGTACAGGTTATCGCGCAGACACTTACTGGCTTCCCTCCAGTACATGACAACGTAATCCAGTGTCAGTGACATTTCCCAGTGTTATCGATCTGAATCCTGTCACTATGGTGCAACGATGATAGTTGTGAAAGCAGAGGATCCTGGAAGCCACTGACGAGTGGAAACTTTTTCTTTATTAACTTCTGTGCTGCGTTTATCATCCTACCGTTCAGCATACTTTTTGGAAAGATCAGTTCGATAACTTCTTCAGACGAACAGCCTTGACCCACTCGTCGCTATTCTGGTCAACTGAAGTACACGACGTAAGAAGACAGTTGCATTAATATTCTTTTTTCGGAATACAATATATAGTGTACTATTAAATACTTCACTGTTAGGAAAGTCAAATGAGTCGTGAACACACACACCTTCTACACCTGAAATGATTTTTCTTCATCCATTTTTTGCCCTTTCTTTTTGTCATCTTTTTCGGGATTCCTTTGGTTTTACTTTTTGAGACGGAAATCCCCTTGATCATTTTTGCCAGGTGTTTTCTATATGCTTGATTCAACAATTTAAGCCTTCCTTTTCCAACGTCCGCAATTAAGAACCAAGCCATCGGGTATCCCGTATCCATCTCCCCCCTTTTCAATCCTTCTTCATGTTTCCGTATTGTTAGCGATTAACATAGATCTGATAAAATAACAACTTGAAAGCGAAGACTTTTGAGGTTTTACCGATTGTTGCGGTTTGTGAAATTGGTCGGAGATCATCGTCTGCGACCTTAGCGGTATTTTTCATTAGAATCGGTAAAACATTGGCCGATTCCACACAGGAGAAACTTTGACTTCAGGAATTAAAGCATCGAATATTGATTGATGCTTCTGGAGAGGAAAGAGTGTTAGCGTTAGATTTGAACAGCCAGTAGTGTATTTCATCAGGTCCAGGGACTTTGCGGGCTGAGGTCACATTGACGGAAGTAAAGTTCAATGGAGGAACATCTACATGTATGCCAACATTGCAGAACAATTTGGCGACGTGCTCAGCCCGTGAGGATCCGATCATTATTGTGGATACTAGTGAATTGTTGCTTATTTGATAATCCAACCAGACGCTTAATATCATTCCAAACAAGTGACGAAGAAATGAGTAAAATGATCGACAAGCCCTGCCAATTTCTAGTCTTTCTACAAAAGTATAGGTGTAACTACAAAAATAACCCACGCACGTTGTCGTCTTTTTATAGCATCTTTAATGTCGGCATCTTTATTATTCAAGGTTTGTCCATGGAGTGATGTTTAACATATCGTAGTGGAGATTTCGTACATGAAAACTCAGGAAACAAGTTTTGTTTCAACTGCATTGGCGCTGTATTTATAAATGTAACCAGTTAATTCTGGACAAGGCTCTGCATGGAGAAAGTGTTGTTTTTTGAAAGTCGACATGACCGTTTTAAGGTTCTGGAACTTGGAATGCTTTATGGATTTTTGGAAGTTGGTTGAAGAAGGACACAGATCAAGAAATTTCCTTGTTAGGTTCAAAGTTGTTAGGTTCAAAGTTGGGTATGAAGGAAATCGCACTGAGAGTCCTCAAGGCATAAGCCTCTTTTGCGTTGAAAGGGGCAAGGAACCAGATTTTTGAGGGTTTTCAACTTATATGCAATGATATCCTGGAAAGCGGGCCCCGTTTGTGTTAAGTTGACTTGAATTGCACGCATTATTGACTTTAGTTGTTTCGCCGCGGTAGTTATCTATATCGATTGTCTCTCCCTCGGCAATGACAGTGCCATTTTGAATACAATTGAGCGACTTCTCCACGTTTTTTGGCTTTTATTAATATTTGAAGACTTGCAAGAACTTCAGTAATATGAACAAGTGAATCACATAAAGCACGAATAACTTCGGTGTTGATACCTTACCCCGCCATAAGCCCTTCAATATCAGAATTGCATGATAACGTTTCTTACACGACCTTCTAAAAAACCTGCATCGAATTCATGGTTCTTTTCAGCGACGGTTACGCCGAGACTTTGACAAAGCATAGTGCAAAGGAGTTTCATAATAATACCTGCCTCTGTTCCTTTAAGATGTAGCTAATATACTCTTATTCTTTCTCCACTTAATCCCGATTTAGATTACCTTCTGGTCGCCTCCAGGCAGCTCCCAAACGCTGTCTATAGATTAACATCTTCGCCCACAAAACGTTTTAAAGACTCGTAGACACCACTGCAACCAAAGCATAGGTTATTTAATAATGATGTCATTATATAATATGGGCCTTTATTAATATAGATAACTTTAAATTCAAAACACGGAGCCCCAAAAGCACGTCTGCAGGTCGGTATATGATATAATGAACAAACATAGTATCCTATAATTGAATAATCGTGCATACCTTTGTCAAGTGTTTTTTGTAATTTCGTTTTTGCTGTTCCTATGTTCTTCATCGCCAAGTCGTGCACCGATTTCTTTAATTTTAGGAGCTGCCAACCTCGATTTCTTTAATGCATGCGCAGAGTTTTGAGTATTACAATAAGGACTTCCTTCAACCTCCAATTCGATTGGCAGTTTTAGCTCACGACCATACATAAAAAATGCCTAAACCTTTTTAGATGAACTATAGCAAAACATGCAGAATTTGTTCTATATAGGTTGTCGTTGTTGCCTGATACGTACTTGTTATGCGGTGAGCTTACATATAGCTAATTGTTTACCTGAAACTACATGAGGAAAAAAGAAAAAAAAGTATTTAAAACAAGAGTTTACATGCAAGACAGTGTTGATACCTGGTTTACAAGTTCTCTCCCCCAATTACTGATTACGATATCCATACACCCGTATATCGCGGAGTATTAACATATGTTTTCAACATGCAGTCAAATGTAATAGTTATACTCTGTCCATAATATCTGGTGAATGATCTACTTCCCTGTCGTGTAAGTTAAATCCTGTATCAAGTACAATTAAGTCGACTCTCGAGCTATCAAATACAAATATAGTTTTAAAAATACTACAATTTTTAGCGGAATTTAAATTCCTTTTTAAACCAGATTCACCTTTAAATTTAGTTTGAAATAACTTCTTTTGCAATCAAATTAATTTTAAGGAAATTGACGAATAAATTCAAAGAGGTGGCAGAAATTTGTTAATAAAATCCATATAGCAAACTTACAAAATACGTGCATGCTTAATCTATACAATACAAATTCTATACCCATTTGGCATTTACCCTTTCACTCTAAAAAGCCTTAAAATCGTAGATTTTTTACCGTCCATTTGAATCAAAGTTTTTCTATCCGCGAAGGCGTCTTTTACATACCATTTCATTAATCAATTTTACAAGTCAATTTTTTTTATTTCCAAGATCATCCGAGTGAAAAATATTATTTCAAAAAAGTTTTAAAATATCAGTTGCTCTATCGCTCCATGCACTACGAGAATTCTATCTCTCAGACTTACGGGAAAAAATTGCTGACATTCATGACTAGTTCATGAACAACTTTACTGTCAAAGACAAATTATATTTCATGCATGACGGCGCAGTTTTAGCTGATGGTGTTTGGTTCTGGGCTGCCCCAATTTTATTTTTATGGTTCGTTCTGCATGGGCTGCCTCTGTTTTAGCTGATGGTGTTTCACTCATGGTTTCCTTTTGGGGTCAAAAACTTACCGCGGACTCTCTGCCGGCTTTCAAAGTTGGGTTTTGTGTCTGTCTCCTGTTCCTTCCCCCTCTTCGTCTTCGACAATAGGTTGATAAGCAGTTTTCCATTTCAAATGAAGTGTATTATGTAACTCTCTGTGAAAAATTTCGCTGTGCCGCAATTGACTTTTACAAGTCAAATGAGGTAATTAACTTGCGCAAGACAATAGGCAATTAGGTTGCGTATGGCCTTAATTGACGTGAGCAAAAGACAATTTTCTTGCACCTCCCCTCGTGAAACCAGTTTCTCACGTGAAAAGGAAGTTCATCAAAGTAGTTTTTATGCGAGAATACCTCTCACAACCATATCGTTTCGCTGGCGGATTACGGAACATTTCTGTTTGGTCAAGTCGCACAAACAACTTGATATTTTCATTCATTTAAAATCGTTTTCTCTGTATCGGTTTGTTTTCTATCGACTTGATATTTAATTAGTTTTCTTCTTTGTAGAAGCAACAAAGATTTGCACAGATTTGTCCGATGCAAAAAAGCTAAACAATTGTACACGGGTTCTTGTTTTACATATTTAACCCAGTAATCAAAACAATCGTAAGGTTTCAGTCACTTTATTTTACGTTTTACTCGGGAAAATCTCGCCCGAACTCTATATCTTTCTTTTCTTTTTCAAAAGCAACCAACATGCTGCTTTCCGAGTCTGTTGGCTTTAGCGGTATAAAGCATTTAGTCAAAAGCTTTCTCCTTTATCTCTCGGTTGCATCGAGCATAATACATCGAGGATATAGAGATGTGTTTACGCCACCCATACTCCGGATTGAGACTTCTCTTTTGTCACTTTGGCATAATTGAATCTGTATGTTTGCTTCGTGAATAACTTTGAAGCTGCGTATTGCTGTGGGGCTTTAAACTTCAAATTTGGTGCGCCTAGACCGCCTTGGGCTGGTGTTAGGCTCACAAGCTCACACGACTCATCCGAAAACGGTTTTTCCTGAAAAATCTCATTAAGGGCTTCATGTATCGGTTCTACGTACTCTTCAAAATCCTTAATTATTTGCATGAAATATGTAAATTTGCATTGATATGCTTTCGTAAGGGCGATATAAGGGGCGTGTGCTGGTTTTTTTTTTCCGAAAGGGCTGTTATATCGCGTCTCCATCCTTGAACTTTTCTTTGCAATGCTGGTATTTGTGATCTTTAGATCCTATTAAAGCCCCCAAATTTCCTTCATTACACAATAAAAACCTCTGTAAAACTCACTTAATTATTGAATAAAATAAACCTAATATCAGATTTACTAGTCATACCAAATTGTTAAACTTCAAAAATATACAACAAATATTGAATTCTGTGTCCCAACTCTTGGCCAATAATTAACAGTCACTAGTAAAAAAACTCAAATGAGTTTCATATTGCCTTGCTTTGAGCTTCAGTGCTTTGCTCTCTTGCTGATGAGCTTGCTGTTGGTTGAAGTTCTCTTTCATACTGCATGCCATTGTCAACATATACTTGCACCAGACTGCCAATAGATTTTTATTCATTTCACAAAATTTGTGTAAAATAAAGCATGCATGTATCACATGCGAAAATTCATCAATATTGATTTCCATATCTCTACGAAGTGCACCAAATCTGCCTTTCAACCTCCCGAAAGTACATTCAATCACAATTCTTGCAGAACTTAGCTGATAACCAAAAAATTGCTCTTTGGCAGTATTTCCACCTCCTGGATATTCCTTCAATACACATGACAGAAGTGGGTGGATCTCCCAAATGCAAACGGGCACTACTGGTGCAGTGTCTGGCACAAGGATGGCATATAAAAGAGATATTGTGTCATTTTGTAGCATCTTGTTGAGACCAGAATTGAAAAACATTCTAGCATCATGGACACTACCAGGCCACCTTATCACTACGTCAGTAAAACATTACTTGTAGTCACATATAAAGCTTGAATGTTGGTAAAGTATCGGTTCTTTCTGTTAAGATAATCGGTTGGGTTTTCTCGAGGCTGTTTTATGAACACATGTGTTCCAATCAATCGCCCCTAGGCATTGTGGAAACCCGTGTTTTTCATAACACTTCTTTACTGCTTCTACAATCCTGGCCCAAACCATTGACTACACTCAAAATGATTTGTAGTTTTTTAGGCCAAACATCAACATTTCTGTCTCGATTTTCCCCCTCGCCCCCCTAATCAATGTTGAGTCCATGCTAAATACTTGAATGAGTTCTGACACATCACCCAACATTGATTTGTGGGGGAAAGGGGGAGAATTTTGAAATATATTCCGTGACTACTGACTGTAGTGGCAATTAACACTGAGTGTTGTCAATGTTTTGACCAGGATTGTAAATTTTCCTTCGGCCAACTTGATGTATCAGGGTCCTAACACAATGGATATCACAGAACAAACCCTTCGAACAATTTCGGACACAGTACTCTTCCCCAAACCCATGCAGTGCATTGGAACCTTTCGATATCTTCCTTCATCGGACAATCACTCTTTGCTTTTATTAAGAGAAGCGACAACAATATATCATATCAATTTCAGCTTTCACCAAATCGTGCTCGAATTCGTCCAGTCTTATAAATTCGCCTGGTGGAAAACGGGCTTAAACTTGAAACCCTTTTTATCCAGGAATTTAACCACCGCTAATAGTTTCCCTTGCAACCAGTCTGGCGAATGCTCCAGAGATATATTCAGCTGAGCGGGCTTTCCTTTGTAGTTGAAAATCGTTTTTGTATAAAGATTCAGATTAGTGATACTTTAGAAATCTTCGCATTTTTTCGTCTATTCGTACTAGTTCCTTTCGTGATAGCCTTCCCGGCATTCCTGTCAGAAAAACAATATCCCGTTTTTCGCAACAAATTTGTTTTTGTTGATAGCGCTTGCGATTCGTTTTTCTATTTTACGTCTGATAGCTCTTTTCTGATAGCTGTGGATATTCCTTTTCTTTGGATATTTGGATATTTCTTAACCGTGAAAAATGATGCAATAATCAAACAACGATGAAGAGATCAAACTATTTCGAACCGCCACATCTTAAAGCATAATTATTGTACACGACTAATCATGTCATCTTTTATCACTTTGATCTGTGATGATTAGAATTTTCTCTGGACAAATTATATACACTGCCCCTAAACTGCTATTACAATAACGGTTTTGGGGACGAGTAGCAAAGTGTGTTTTTATTTTTTTCTGACTGTTATAATGATATTTATTGTAAAATCACAAGAAATAGAATTTTAATATTCGTACTGATATTCGTAATGTTCTGCAATAGCCCTATTAACATTTTTTTATAATTTCGTAGACGACTTTGAAAATGAATTTGAACCACGGCCGAAGAAAATCAAAAGTAATCAAGTTATCACAAAGGATGCTAGGAAATCTGGAAAGGTTGAAAGGAAAACACCATTAAAAAGGTTTAGCATTAAAAAATGGAAATATAACACGATTTTCTCCATTATATATATACCCGTAGTGCGATTATAAAATAAAGTTGTTCGGCCAGTTTAGGGAATCTCAGATTATGCGAAATAAAGGTAACCACCGTTTGACAACGTAGTTTTTACCTTAGCTTCTTTCGTTGTTTTAGGCATTTTCTTTAAAATACTGATTTTTTCGTCTGTCACTTTGGCAAAAACACTTCGCCCCCATTTCAATTATTGCTTTGACTTTGTAACTACTGTACGAAATACCGATTTAAAATACATTTAAAATAAAATGCGACATCTGACTGAGAATCGAAATTAAAGTTTAAGCAATCAATGGATAACTTCATGTTAGGCTAACTCTTTGCCAATCTCTTGCCCCTGCATGATATAACAGAGCGAAATTACCTTGGGGATGGGTACGAGGTTTGACTCTTTGCCTGGTGATGTAAGGTATATATTCTGAGAAAGAGCATATTGAAATAAGTACAATTGCAAAGTTTGACGGCAAAATGTTGTAAAATACAGAGAATATGTAAAATACGGAGAATACATTACAATATTTCGGTGTCAAATGCAGTTTTACTAATTCCAGTATGCCGTATCTAGTTTCCCATCGTCAAAACTTCGAATTTTCGTTGCCTTTTTTATATAGACTTTCTGTTGAGGAAAAACTGTATAAAAGAGATATAGATAAGGCTATTCGAATTTCTCTTTCCAACCCAACTTCGATCGATGAAGAAAAAAATGTTGATGGGGAAGATAATGCATCTAAATCAGAAGGTTTGTATTGCACCATGCACTATATTCATTTAAAGTTAAAAAAAATCGATGATGAGCTCTAATAAAATCTAATTTGACAAGGTAATACATAGCTGATGATATTAAGCAAAAATTGTTTAGCATTTAGAGATAATGAACCTAGGCAGAAGACTACCATACAAGAAGGTGCAGGTGAAAATTATGACGAGAAACAAGGCAGTGATTATAGCGAAGATGAAGGGAGAAGAACACCCGCTTCGAAACGCAGCAAGCTGGAGAAGGCACAAACTATTGGAGACAACAAAAAACTAACCGGTATGGATTATTAATCTTTTTTTCATTCCATCGCTAAATTTCATGTGTTTTTACGCGCGGGTGGGCTCATTTTGTAGCGAGCAGGGTTGCCAGATTACTGAAAAAAGAAACCGAACAGTGTCATGTAGTCGGCCCTTTGTGGTAGCGAGTGATTTTCAAATATTTAAATGGTTTAAAAAACTCTCACTAACAACTTATTGTTTAAAATGAACGCCATTGTTGATTCCTGCACCGGATTTGCTAAATTCTGGATTATGATGCGGTATAACTTTTCAAGAACCTCTGAAACTTTATACAGTCATGTACTTTATACAGTCATGAAATCAACCCATGCATATGCTTGGCACATCATTTGCCCTAAAGTGAGTTGTACATAAATTTAGTCGTTATACCTTCTATTGACAGAAAAAGGGCAGTCTGTTGCCCCGTCAGTGAAAATCCCGGCAGGAAATATTAATCTTCGATCTCTTGGTCTTGGCGGTGTTCAAATAAAAAAGCCTGGGCCTCCATTGCGTGTTGGTCTATCACGATATATGAAAGTCAAACCGTTGCACAGTAAAGTGCCCGTTTCTCATTAGAAGGTACAATAATTATATTTATAGTGTGTAAATATATAGTGATTTTAACCGTATAGCAGGACAGATTACACGCACAAAAATGTGTGATGTACCGCATGGGGGGGGGGGATTTCAATTATTTTAAGTTAAACGTTCTTACAAGCAATGTAAATGACTGTACCATATGGCATTTTAGCTGAAGACGTAACGTGTTTTTCAAATGCACTGGAAATGTTAATGACTGCAACTGGTAGTTACTATTGTCGATAAGGTTTTTTGTTTAAGGGTTTTAAAGCCATTAGCTTTAGCTTTACATCGGCGATCAGCCCCAAAGTGAACACTTTATGCCGATTAGCTAACGTATGGACTGGATTTGCACAATTCTTTTTAGTTTAAGAAATGCATTCTATTTTTCATTTCAAACTTAACCGTTCATTAAGCTAAACGGATTTTAAACAACCACCTTCAAACGTAGTTCCTTCGTTGTATCCTGTGGAAAAGTCATAGACACAGTGACATTCTGAGATTACGTTCACACACATGCAAAACGTATCACTGGATGATTCTACCATCTCGTAACCATACCTTTGGGTATTTTTCTCGAATGAACTGCGATTTCTGCGTCACGCCCAGAGAGTGATGCAGGTGTTAGCTGTTAGCTCGAATACAAGTGTTAGCTTTGACTCGTTTTTTCATCTCACCGGTTTATCCATACGGATTATTTCTTTGATTTAAAGATTGCATGTCGTGCGGTTAAGCTAACTCTCATCACTATAGGATTTCTCTCTCTCTATATATATAAAGAGTTTAAAATCAGTGTAAACTATTTTAGTTGTATGCCATTGTATATTTGTTATAATAAAATGAATCAATGCGTTTTTCGAGTATTAGAGTATCAGGATATGTTATATTGTCAATTAAGAGGTTTTTATACACGTACTTCAGTGCACGTCGAACAATTAAACGTGTTAAATGTCTCAGAATCCCCTTTTTTTTTTTCATAACTAGGTTTTGCACAAGTAAGATAGCCATTCAAAGATTAGAACCTCATTATAATTTTCCTATATTGACAGTTTTTTAACCAAGCATGTTTGTCAAATATAAGGCCCTGGGTTCAAAGAATATAATATTTTTATAATAGCTACATGTCGTTGGCACAATGGAAGTAACGAGGTTTAAAGTGTCCATCTTCTGAACGTGTTCTTCTCTCTATATTCTTCCAGCCAGGCTCTAGCGGCCTTCATTGACGAATTCAATGGTCCCTGTCCGCCAACATAGGCTACTTTTCCTTCTTCAATCGCATAAAGCCTTTCTGGCAAAGCACCGTAAGCGACATTTGCATTGTCCTCCATTGTGTCGACTAATATTCGACACGGGAGATTAAGCTCTTGTAATTTCTGTGCAGCAAGACATCTTTCTTCTTGATTTCGATGCTTTCGTACATTAATAAAGTTGTTCTAAAAGGATAAATAATTTGCTTTAGTTTATCTCAATGCAATATGGATTTAACTTAGTTAATCTGTTACTTTTATGCTCTGCATGTTAATCTGCTACTTTTTATGTGCAGAATGTAGAAAAAACGTTTTGTTTCAAACCTTGAATGACCATCCATCCTCGGGATGTGCTTCTTCGATGTAAACTACAACAAAATCTACGATATCGGAGTAATCTTGTGCCAGCTCGCCAAATGCATTCAGCTTATTCATGAACACGGGACAACTACAGCTACCGAAATACACCACTAATGCCCTGTCAACCTGCAACAGGTCGAGCAGTCGGACGCACTTTTTACCATCTGCTGTTACAAGTGGGACATTTTGTGCTTCGCCTCCATTCCGTGCTTGTTTCATAATGTCGACCAATCTCGATTTCCAAACAGATTTATACATTTCCCATCCAAGGAAAGTTTCCCAATAGTTTCTTTTAGGCATCTTTATTCCTGTTACCTTGCTCATGCCAAGCTCAAGAACAAAACTTAAACCTGTTTCGGGCAAAGAGATTCAAATGATCATTTGCACCATTCTTTATATTAACTATATTTTAGGGGTCCTTTCTTTTATACGGTGAAAACGGCCAGATCGGTGCTATTGTATTTTATAGTACAGACGTGCAGACTACTGCTATTTTGATCAAGTATATCGTCACTCACGTCTGTGTTTGTCGAGACGTTTGCAACGCGCCTATTTACACTAAAATTTTCGCTAAAATGTACTCTTTATCGCTAAAATTTTGTAGATGTATCTAGAACGCACGAATTACCTTATGTCAATTAACTGTATACAAAACAGAGTGAAAAATTATGTTTTTTAACCGTAATCTATGCGAGTTGAATTGAAAAATGTAAAGTTAGTATTTCATCTCACCTGGAATATAATAGAAAATAGCACAGACGCCAAAGATCAATGTAATTTCCAAAGTAACCCAACATTTCACAGCAAGCATGTACATACTTTTGTACTCCATGACTTTCTCCCTCAGAATGTGGTAAACATGGTCAGAGAGTAATGTTTAAATGTTAGTGATCCAGTCTCAATTTGCATTTCTTTTCATTCCTAAAGCGCGCAATCACGGCACCTCGTTTCCGCTCCTTATTTGTCCGGTAAAGGAATAATATGCAAAGAATATTGAAGGGTGTTGTCGTCGGAGAAATTTTTAAGGTTCAAAGTATTTTTGAACTCTTCTACGGAGTGAATTAAAGGATAAGAAACATGCATGTTGTTTGGATTTTCGTGTTAAGTTGAACACAATAAAGCAAAACAAGGTATTGATGAATAGCCATCAGTACAAATGACGTATATATAACAGTGTTAATCACGCTCGTAAAACTTGTTTATGGTCATGGCATGACTACCGCAGACAGAATCGCAATCTAATTGCAGGTAATATAGACTCTAAAATCATGCATACATGCATTGTAAAGTTAGGATTCGGAGTTCAGTTTCAGTATTTCTAGCAATAAGAAGCTTAAGAACAACGAGTTATCCAGTTTTCAGTTTCCATTTGTCCGGTCAGTATGTTAGCATTAGGAAACTCGGTTTGTTCGCCGATTTTCATTAGGCCGCTTACGATGAAGCATTTCGCGTGGACGGAAATGAACTTGCGTCTCAAACTATATTCTCGCTCTTACGATGTGGGATGGTCTCTCCTTGCATTCTAATTTTGAATGCCATACATAGTTCTTTCTCCCACTGACATTTCGTATCCTTTACCAATGATGCATATACAACAATGCATGGATCGGTTTTATTTTTGGAGCTTATCGTTTTCATTGCCACATTCTGAATCTATGTCATTAAACTTTCCCAAAAATGACGGTTTAACAAACCCGAGTATAAAGCGAGTGTACCGCAAGTTACGATGCGCCCTTTTATTGTCACCATGACAACGCGTGTGATTTGGTTGTCAACTTTTCATGCATACGCTCAACATGTCTAATGAATGAAAATATTATGTTATTACTACATTAGACTGTAGTTTTATGGATGAACTAGGTAGTGATTTAATTGCGAATATCCGAATTGCATGGAAACTTCCTATAAGGAGCCGCATGCACATTTTTTGTACGTTTTTAAAATGACCATTCTCGATTTAACTGCCGATAATTTCGGTAATTATCGATTATTGCACATGCAGACTTCCAAGTGAGCAAAAGCCTTCTTCCAACGACCTCATAATCGCTTTCAACTCCTTTTTCAACGGCTACGTCAACAATACTAAGTTCTAAGTTGTTAATTATTTCAATAGTTATTGACAACATAGTATGGTTTTCGTGGCGTGCAAACCTGTGCAAAGTCCAGAAGATGAAAGTCCAATATGAATATGGAAAAGAAACAATCAAACCTATATAAATAACGGGTTAAAATCCTAATTATACATTATTATGTAAAATGCTTATAAACCACATTCAAATCGCCTTGCCTAATAAATGCATGGACAATATAGCATGCAATTCAGCATGCAATTTTTTCTCTAAGTCACCCAACTGCCGTTTGACCGTCGGGAGTTCCTAACATACAATAATCTTCAAGGCCCTCTCTAAGTTTGCCGCCGTCTATATTTTTTGACTAATATTTCTAAATATCGGTACAAGCTCGAGATGTAGCACGTGGCAAAAACTCACGAACTCCCGAGATGTAACTCGAGCTGGAATGGCAAAGACTAGGTCCCCTTTATATAGTTACAAGAGCCCTGGCAAAGACAGTTAACGAAAGGGAAAATTGCTGCATGCACCGAGCCCAATTAATTGGAACCAGATTTTTTTCCGACCATGGGTTGTCGTGCTCTAAAGGCGGTTTCGTACATTAGCGCAGTAATTATCTTCGTGATCGCATTGGAGCTAAGAATGGCAACCGAGATGTCTATAATGACGGTGCAACATCTTTCCCATTACATTTAGGTAACGCATTCATAGTTTTTAATCTTTTTTCTCCACATTTCAATTTTTGCTGTCAGCACGAATTGCTCTGAAAAAGATGAGTCAGCAGGCATGGCACTGGAGGTATCAATTCACAATTAGACATAAAGCTTGTTGACCTTTTCTGAAAACAAACTACCTGTTTTGAGCAACCTTTACCGTATCCCTCCAACCTCCAACATGAGCCACAATTTTCCTAAGAAAGGTTATCGGTTCGCGATCGGGGCTCCCTACTCTGTTTGCAGGCAATTGAAAAAAGGATGTTAATATGAAAGATGAGTAAAAAATTAAAGGAAATTTGAAATTTGATCTTAATAGTCTTGTTTAAAAAGAGCATCCATTCATGCACGAGATATAACACTGTTATCCTGGCTTTGTTGGGTCAAGTTCGCCAGGTAATGTATTGAAACTACTGAATGGATTTTAATGGTTTTATTCAGGAATCATATGCGAAATAGTTAGGTCGTGTGTACCGTTCATACATTCTCCGGTACCCTAAATTACCAACCGAACAATCTAAAAATTAGCTTGCCCGGTTAGAAAATTGAGCATATACCAGACGTCGCCGGTTCGTCCCCACAACTATACAATGTCAAGCAGTTTACCTAGCTCATCAGCTGAATGTGTTATCGAAACTCGCCACAGAAGTAAGACAATTTATTCAAATTCATTCAGTGTTTATAACTTATAATTATAATTGTAAATTTTCTTAACCTTTAGCCGAATAAAAATGAATTTAATATACGATTTGCGAGTGTTAAAGGCTATAAACCTATTTAATCAAAAGCTATATTTATTTTAGTTTGTTCTGTTTGTGACTCCATCACATTGATTCACCTCAGTTACCTCACATACGTTACATCACATGAGTTGTATAATTTAATTGAATATATTAAGTATGAAATAAAACAAATTTAACAAATGTCCCGAGAAAACAGGTTGGTTGTTTTGAATAACGGGATTAAGGAGGGTTTCAGTTGACGGGGTCATTTGGAGAAAGTTGCATGGTTGCAAACCATGAATTCTAAATGATTATTCTATCCAGTTTACTATCTAAATGGCAAGCGTTCATATTGATCAATTTTGTATGCAAATGTCAAAGCCAATAAAGGATATTTATTAATGTTATTTATTACATGAATATGAGGGTATAAAATACGATATTTTAGCGTGTGCTATGATTTGTTTATATAATAAACAGAATATTACATGGTTGCTTGGAAATTTGGATTTATTACTCGTGTTGCACAGAATATCACTCGTGAGCAATATTCTCTTCAACACTCGAAATAAATCCCATATATTTCTGCGCAACCATGCATATAATATTCTCTATAGTATGGAAATACTATGCATGGCTGTTTGCGTATGCATGCAAGATAAAGTTCGATAGAACAAGCTAGAATCAGTATATCAATCTGATCGGTAATCAGTATATCAATCTGATCGATAATCAGTATATCAATCTGATTGGTAATCAGTATATCAATCTGATCGGTAATCAGTATATCAATCGATCAGTAAATTAATAATCCTTTCATTTTGTTGCTCGGAAAAATGACCACGAGTATGAGATTGATTTGTAAACAGGGTGAATCTGGCAATCACCGAATTTGCAATTATTACAAAAGTATGGCCAATTGCCGTTTTTGCACAATGAGCAAAGGCAAATTTTGAATGTCCTAGCACGAAAATTTATCAAAGATACCTATAATAATCATTTTAGTTCGAGTTTAGCTTCAGTACATTTTTTTAAATCTTAGCGGGCGAACTACATGTATATTTGAAATTTGCTTGATGTTTACATGCTACAAATCTAATGAAAGCCTAGGTTCTTAAATCTGAGCTACTGAATCCTAGGGTAATATTAATTCTTTCATTCCCAGCACAGTAATTTACCAAGAGTATGGAATCCCCATTCATGTGAACTACCAGTATCTCCAAATCTGAGCTGCTTGACAGGTAAGGTGTTCGTGTCCATCAAAAATCCAGAATCTTCCCGTAGCACTCCATCATTTGCATCACAGTTGCAATCATATCCTTTGTAACAGTTATTATTCATTGCACACCCACATTTTCCGCTGTCAACTGCGGCCCCACCCCAATAGTTCATCTTCTTACCTTGACGAGAGACCCACCAGCCATCGTCTTCATCAAACAATTCACTAAAATGGCATTCGTACTTGATAAATTGTTCACACTGTGCAGATTGTTTTATTACGGAGACAATTTGGTCCATTGTTGCGACATATGTAACATTCCTTTCGTACGATCCAGCTTTTTCGTAACCGTCTACTTTTGTTCTTGATTCACTGTCATGTCCAATCACAGTAACACCAACCCCGCCCTTTGATGTCATGTCACAGAAAAATGGAAAGACTGATGAGCTCTGGTTTTTTGGGTTAAGGTAGTATATTCCGCTCTTTATACCAGGGTATTTTTTCTTTATGGCCGTACACGACGGATTTTCCTTCAATATATCTACAATTGCAATTATATTTTAAAATATTAATTAGTATTTGACATTGGCAGAAATTTTAGTTAAAAAGTTAATTAGTACACTAAAAAACCAGTGATATTACTGACTGCCCCTGATTATCGTATCTTGATGTTGCCAAAATAATGGGGAACATCGTGACATACACGAAATGGCATGAATGTATTGGGTTCTTGGAATGATGAGATATGACAGACGTGGTCCACCATCTTGGGTGGCATGAACCTTTTCTCAACTGATTACTGATTAACTGCAAATCTGCGAAACGGGTGACTACAGTACTACAATCGCAGTTGCATTTATTTATATTTATTTGCTCTAAAATGACGGTATTTTCATTTACCACCGAAAATAGCGGGAGCGGAAAAATACGGACTGTAGTGTCACTGAGTTGCAAGAGTTCAGTAATTAAGATATTTTAAATTGATTGGATAAAAGTACCTAAAAGTGGTTGTGTCGTTTTAATTGATACGAAATTTATATCTGCCCTTCCCCATCCGTTTTGGTGTTATTTCCTTAAATCAGACACTGCAATGAGGAAGAGTCAACAGGGCCGTAACTTGACCGGCTTCTTGGGGGGAGGGGGTGTATATTCATGTATACATGCTTACACATGCTCTACCGTAGGAACAATAAAGTACAAAAGAAGTCAATAAGGCATAACATGAATATTCACAACTCACCCAATTAAACTTCCAGCTACGGCCTTGAGAGGCGATATAAATTTCACTCAACTTTTAAATTGATATGGGATTGACATGGCTGCTAATACTTGTTTATAATCTATAAATTGATTTTTTCTCCCTAATATCGTATCTTTCCTGATCATATTTTTTAAGGTTTCCTGGCCTTTGCACACCTCTCGTGGAAATCAGCAAATGTTGAATGAGAATCCGGCCCAGATTGTCGAAAAATTTTAAAATAATTAAATATTTCATCAAAAGGGATTACCTTGTATCATTTTAATGCAGACCATACTCTCATTTTGTGTTTTCTCATCTTTGCGTTGATACTAAAATACAAAAATAAAACTAATAAAACCAAGTGAAATCCGCAAGTGGTAAGTTGATGGTTCGAATCCGGGCAAAAATATTTTCCATTATTGATCTTGAAGGCGGCAGTTTTGTGTAGTCTTCTAAGAAACAAAAACCCATCCTTGAAACCCAAACATCATTTCTCCGTTGCCATGTGTGACCTTGTCAGTAGAATTGCTGAGATGGCAGTTTACATCAAATTTTCCCTTTTTTCTCGTTTCACGATTGAATACAAAGACCACACATGATAGTTGGCGAGAACAGAGAAGAGAGCATGTTGCTTCGTCTTCGACAAAATGACTGGAAATAACACTGCGATTTGATAAGGTGAAGCAGGCTGAAAAGTCAAGTTTAGTACAAGCGGTTGAACAAATTACGTTAATGCAACACAAATATAAGTATAAAAATATCTGCATGTTGCAAATAAATTTTACATAATTACTTAATATTTCAACAGACGTCATCTCGAGAGTTTTAGACAACCCCGCGCACGCTCAAACAAATTGCATCTATGTTCAATACCACAGCACCTCTTTCTTTTGGTGCTTCTTCAAGCACATTAAAACATATTAGTGCCAAAGTTTTGTACCCTATCTCTACAAGACATACAAACGTTCTAAATAGTAAAGGAGAAGGGTCTTGTCACATTCGGGGCGTGAAGCATCCAGGTCAGGGGCGTGGCAAACTTCTATAATGAAAAATGATCAAGTGAATGGCTTCAATGCGGGTTTTTAGTCACCCCTTCAAGACTCGATTTTAATATAGCTTGATCAATATAAATAATAAGACGCCTGTTCTGGCGTTAACTCCGGCGTGCCGCACACGTGCCAGTTTTCAATATATTCTGAACATTAACAATACAGTTCAATTCATTACATGCCTTGTGAACCTATATGTTGTTCGATCGCGAAATTCAGAAGCACATCGCACTTTAAAAAGTGTAGAAGTTCAATTGTTCAAAAATGTAAATAAACCGCATGATACATTACATTCACTTTGTCTTACATTTTGCTTTTGGAATTCGTGCTTGTATAGAATTTTCAATCCTGTGCAAATGGCGACGTGTCTGCATCGCCCCCATACACAGCGATATTATTAAAATAGGACCAGAAGGCAGAATCTACATGTATTAAATATATTCTTACGCCAATTGAATCTAAACTTAATCGAACAGCATCAAAAGAACGGTTTATTTGTTCCTCTTGGAGGAATTGCCGCATCATGCGAGCGAAATCGAATCGCGTATCGGAAAATGAGCTAAAGCTGTGCAACACCACAACTCTTGGGAGACAAGACTGGGACGTAGATAAATGCGATCACATACACATTTCAAATACTAGTATATTTCGCGCCATTACACACTTGCGACGACGAAAAATAATAAAAAACCCCAAAAATAAAATAAAAAAAACAACAAAACAAAACCGAGGCGAATTTTCAACTCCGTCGCCGACGCCGGAGTAATTAGGCTCTACAGCCCTAGTGATATCTAAAAGATAAAGATATTGGAAATTTGTCAAATTGTCGAGGGAAAGAGGCCGGGTGGTGAAAATATTTTTCTAATTCTAAGCCTCTTCCTAATCCTAGATCTTTGGCAACGGCTTATTTGAGCCTGATTAGCGCAGTACAAATTAAGTAGGTAAAGTACAAAAATGTTTTCTTTCAAATTGGATGTCATTAACCAATGATGGAAATTGGCGAAAATTTTTATATAACTAACCAAATTTAACACTGTAATGATGGAATTGCTTTTATTTATGTTTAAGTATGTTTGCGTAGGTGCAGAAAAAGAACAATTTAAATTGGTACGGCGAAGAAACATTTAAAGCTTTTAATATAAAACCAGTGCCGTGGTGGATCCAGTGTAAGTCAGAATAAATTAGCACAGCTCTTACTTGCAATCATATTGGTAGATTTTTATGTAAAAGTATTCTTTAGAAATACGTACTACCCAATATCGCTGTTATTAAGGTATTTTGAATTGGAAATTAGGCTGTGTAATTTATTCTGACTTACCCTGAATCCGCCACTGTAAAAAACTTCTACGAGTAATATCACAAAAACTGTTGCTATTTCACTTCGGCTAAACGCAATACAATTCTTTTTTTTCATCGCAAAAACAAAAGTGATTAGAGTCTGTCCTCAAAATTTTAGCTTTTTTACTATTTGTAATATCTTCCAAAAGGGCGGCTAAATTGTGTATATGCATGGGTGACTATAGGCTGTTTCAGTTTGTAAATCAATTTTTGGCACTTCACTCGATGCAGGAGTATTCTAAAGGTTTTAAAGGGTCTTAATTTCGAGTGAAATTATGCACACTTCAAATTCAAGCCAGGAACAGTTGATGGAAAAGTGAGTCAACTACAGGTTCTCCGGCAGGAATCGAACCTGCGCTTTTGCGATGCCGGTGCAATGCTAATTTTTTTTTCTATTTTTTTTTGTTATACTACATATTTACAGTTGTTTGTATTTGTTTGTATTTTACTACATTATATCCTGGTTAATTTTTTCTAATTTTTAGGTTCAGGTCGTTTGGTATGTTCCCGTTGTATTTTCCTGGTCCGGTTGATAGGTATAGGTATAGCGTCCATTACTCTGTTAAGTTCCTGCCTCGTGTCGTCAAGCGACTCGGTCGGTTCTTCATCTTCGTCTTGTAGCAGTTCGTTGACAGCTCTGGTGGAGCATAAATCCTGGGATTGCTATGTAGCATATGTCTTTTAGTTGTGTAACACCCGCTGTTGCCATTTGGCGTTGTACAACTCCTGGCCGTCGTTGTCTCGTATCGCAGGGTTTCGAAATAATGGTTCGTTGAGTGTCGGTTACGTTTGTTGGTTCATTTGTACGTTCAGTGTGTTGGTTGTACTTGAGCCATGATGTTAGTAGTTCCTTGCGGAACTTTTAGGTACCCCGGTTTATCTGCTGTGAGGTGTACTTTTGGGTGAGGGTAATTTTTCCCAGTTTCATGTTTCCCGTTCTTAGAAATATTCCGTTAGTCGTTTCCAGTGTGCTGGTTCTGGGTCCAGGGGCCGGTTGTATCAAGCCCGTTTAGCTTAAACGCTGGATAAGTCAAAACTAAATAACACTCTTACAACTCTGTTGAATGAGTCAACTTTAATATTATGCACTGAATATGTAGTTGTAGACAGTATCTTTGTATTAAGCTTAAAAACATTTAGTTTGCTTGTTGAATAAAACGATAGACTTGCTTTCTATTTTGAATTTATCCACCGTTTAAGCTAAACGGGCTTGATACAACCGGCCCCAGGAGTCGTCGTAAGGTGTTTAGTCTGAGTGCGTGTATCTTCGTTTGTATTCGTTGTATGTTGAAACCGCCTTCTTCTAAAGGTAAGGCAAGTGTATCGCGGTTGACAAGTGGTGCTTTCTTATTCCAGAAAAATCGGTAGATTATTTGCTCGATTTGTTGTATGTTTTGCTCTGGTATATGTATTGTCGTTGCAGTATGCCACAGTATAGATATCAGTAGGCCGTTTATCACTAGCGCTTTGCCTTTGTTACTTAAGTCTCGGTGTGACCAGTCATTGATAATTCCCTCAAGTTTTTGTACTTTGTTGTCTACGTTGAGGCTTGTACAATCTATGTTTCCGAAGTGGATACCTAGTAGTTTTTCAGGTATGTAGTCGTTATACCATTCAAAGCCGAAAAGTTGGTCTGTTCTGTTGCTGAAATGTCCCGTCCAAAGTCCTTTGCATTTTTCTACGTTTATTTTTGCCCCTGAGCCGCGCTCATATAGATTAAATGTTTGAAACGCTTCCGTGATGCTTTGATCGTCTGCAAGGAGTGTTGTGTCGTCGGCATATTGCGATAGTTTGACTTCCTCTGTTGAATTTGGTAGCC